ATACCCAAAAGGGAAGACGGTTTCACGAGCACGGGGTGATTTTGGTTTGTGAACATTAGAAGATTACAACACTGAAAGTGACATCTACATGATTATGATGGACTTTATTTTCGCATTAATTGATTGATTTATATCACATGACTGTTTTATTTCCATTTTATTTTATTTCACATTCTATCACTGGAAAATGTGTTTCACTTAACAGATGGTCACAGTGCCACTGGATCATTTATGTTTATTCAATCAAATCAAAATCTCTATAAATCCCCAAAGAAAAGTAAAACTTTCACCCTTGAAAGTGCAAATATCCTAAACCTTTTTCTATAACCTTCCCTTAACCTCAAATCCTACCCCTCATTCTCAATAATATCGAAATGTCCATAATAAAGTCTAAAATCCAAAATTACAAAAATCCAAAAATAGTCCACACTCTCCGATCTTCCAACTGTGAAAATGTCAGATTCTTCACTCCAATCCAAAATACCCTCTTTCAGCTTGCACAGGCGTTTTACAAATCCCCATATGCCAGATAGTTTTCCTCTTATGGGAGTATGCAGATAGCTTTCCTCTTATGGGAGTAAACAGTGGAATCCCCTGTTCCTCATACAGCAATGGGCATTGGGATCCCTGTTCCTTAAAAAAGCTCAGTCTTTGTAAAAGATCTGCTATGTAGCCACCTAAAGGCTTCAAGGAAGGATATGATCTAGCTGACCACACAGTAGGAGCCTGTCATCAATGCACCAGTCACTCTGTTGGGGTGGTCATCCCATGGGATCCCAATGCCCATTGCTGTATGAGGAACAGGGGATTCCACTGTTTACTCCCATAAGAGGAAAGCTATCTGCATACTCCCATAAGAGGAAAACCATCTGGCATATGGGGATTTGTAAAACGCCTGTGCAAGCTGAAAGAGAGTATTTTGGATTGGAGTGAAAAATCGGACATTTTCACAGTTGGAAGATTGGAGAGTGTGGACTATTTTTGGATTTTTGTAATTTTGGATTTTGGACTTTATTATGGACATTTCGATATTATTGAGAATGAGGGTAGGATTTGAGGTTAAGGGAAGGTTATAGAAAAGGTTTATG